TGTCTGGGTTTAGAGGCAGAAGCCTTTTCAGAGTTGAGACTGGAGGCTTAGAGCCAGGGTTTTAGGGTTTAGGGCTTTAGGGTTTTAGGGTTTAGGGCTTTAGGGTTGTAGGGTTGAGGGTTTTAGGGTTTTAGGGTTTTATGGAAGCTTCTCGGTTGTTTTTTTGGGGGGGCTGTTTCGAAAATTTGGGTTTAGGGCTGGGGGCGTTTGGGCCTGGTGCTTTTAGGGTTTAGGGCATAGGGCTTCGGGTTTTGTGTGACGGTTTGGGGCTTTGGACATGTGCTTCTTGTTTTGAGCTACGGGCCCTAGGGACGTTGCCGTGTGGCAGAAAGAAAGCCAACTCTGCAAAGGGACGCTTAGGGTTTAGGGTTTAGGGTTTAGGGTTTAGGGTTTAGGGGTTTAGGGTTTAGGGGTTTAGGGTTTAGGGTTTAGGGTTTATACGTTAGAGGTGTAGTGCAGGCACACATGCAAAGACAGCGAGTTTGCAAGCCCCGGACCCTCAAGCCCTCTTCCTCTCACGGAATATAGAAATACCGCAAGCAGTCTTTTCAATCTCCACCATATCCGTACAATGCCGTACAAGCCCTTACATTCCAAAAACCCCAAACCCTCTAGCTAAATCAACATTGCTGCAGCTGTGGGGCATGCTCGGAGCCATCGGAAAGGCGCCGCGCTGCGAGCCCCTTCGGAACGTTGGAGTCAAACAGCGTTCTTTTGTCCTACCGGGTTTTGGGGTTCGAGGGTTTACTCGGGTATAGGGTTAAAGGCACTAGGTTTCAGGGCACAGGGCCAATAGACTTTAACTTTGACGATGTTTCTTCCGTAAGAGGCAGCCCTGCAGAAGTTGAGGTGTTCTCCGGAATAAAGCACCAAGTTGGACTCTCTGGGTGCCTGAGGCCTGGACCTCACCACCCGAAAGCCCTGGTACTAACCCCTAAACTCCCAAATTTCTGAACCCTTGGGGAAAGGCTTCAGCCTCGGGGGTGTCAGTTGGTGGAGGAAGATTCCCTGAATCATCATAAGAAGCCCCATAGACATCTCAAAACCCTGAACCCTGAACCCAAAGCCCTAAACCCTAAACCCAAGGCCCTAAACCCTAAACCCTAAGCCCGAAACCCTAAACCCTAAGCCCTAAGCCCTAAGCCAAAAAGCCCCAACCCTAAACCTTAAACCCTAAACTGGTGAGAAGAGCCACAGTTAGCCCCCTGTAACTTCCCGGACACTCTTCTGTCTGGTGCTTAGTAGGGAATGGGGGAATGGATCCCTATCATGGTCCCTTATAGTAGCCCCTATAACCCATTCCCCCATTCCCTACTAAGCACCAGACAGTCTTTGATCCAAGCCGGGGGCCAGGAAGACTTAGGTAGGGAGCCTCGCCCCGGTTGGAGCACCCAACAGCCCTTCTGGAGGGGTTTAGGGTTTCGGGTTTAGGGTTTAGGGGTTTAGGGTTTAGGGTTTAGGGTTTAGGGTTCGGGGGTTTAGGGTTTAGGGGCTTAGGGTTTTGGGGGTTTCTGGTGTCATTTTGAGAGGGCTATTCTAAGCACAAACTTGAAGATAAGTTGCACTCAGACTTTTTGTACAAAAAAACCTAAGCCTAGGATCCAAGGTTCAGGGTGTATAAACCGAGTTTGGCTTTGTGGGTTACGGGATTTAGGGTTTCGGCTTGGGGGCTACAAGGTTCAGAGGCTTGGGGTTTGGGTTTGGGACCCTGACCGTTCCACTCTTGGACCCACACAACATGAGCTGAGGCAGGCACCCTGAGCTTGTTCAGATTCTTTTGGTAGGTTGTTGGAAGAGTCCTGATCATGTGGACTGAGGGTTCAGGGTCTGCGGTTTGGGGCCCAGGGTTTGGGGTTTTAGGTTGCGGAGACTCGCAGAGATGCCACACGGAGAAGCAGCCGATCCGTCATTCAAAACACCTCTGAACATAAGAATCCCAAACCCTAAGCCCTATTACGAAACCCTAAACCCTAAACCCTAAACCCTAATGGGCCGCTACAGTAACATGCACTTCAGGCAAGCCGCCATCCCTGTGATGGAGAGACCGGAGACAGCACTGCCTGAGAGCTGGAAGAGGGAAGGTTGGCTTAAGATGTAGGGTTTAGGGTTTAGGGGTTTAGGGTTTAGGGTTTAGGGTTTAGGGTTTAGGGTTTAGGGTATTCTGGCGTTTTAGGGCTGCGTTGTTTCGACCTGCGTTTCGGATCGACTTGGGGTTTGCGGCGGGGCTTTGGCTGTACGGTTTTGGGTCTTAGGGTCTAGGGTCTTGGGTTCAGGAGGTGCTCGGTTCTAAAATTTTGGAAGAACGAAGATCATAATCGCTTGCGAAGTGAGGGCTGAAGCAACCAAGCACCTTGGAAAAAGTGTGATTACGGGCATTCGGGTCTAAAATCTGAACGAAACAAAAGCCTAAATTCCCTAAACCCTAGCCCCAAACTCTAAACCGCGATCCTGAGCACAAGCGAGCCCAAGCCACATTGTCAGTTCTCTGCATTGAAGGTCTTTTTGGGGGTCCTTTTTTATTAAGGGTGCCGTGCTCTTTTTATGGAAAGGGACCATATTTTCGAAAAACTACCCATATCCCCATTCCATCAAGCATGACTCTAAGGCACAGATCGACCCTGCCAGGAAAAGGAGCCTCAACATCATGGAAGCACACAACCTCTATGAAAAAGAGGAAGAAAACATGCCCCTCAAGTACCAGCAGAAATATAAAAACACCGCTCTGTAGCCCAAACCCTAAACTTACCCTACACCCTAAAGCCAGAACCCTAAACCCTAAACCAATCCTAGAGCCTAAGTCTTACTGTAAATTCCCAAACCTTCTCTAGCCAAACGTAGAGAAAGAAAGTTCTCGGATTTCCCAAAGAAGTACGTTCCAGCTTTCTGGCTTCTACTTTAAGCACTGGAACTTTCTGTTCACCCCTAAACCATAAACTAAATCCTGAACCCTAAACCCTAAACCCTAAACCCTAAATCCTGAACCCTAAACCCTCAACCCTACCCTTCTCTGACCTCCGCTTGCTCTTCGAAGACGAAGCCTGGAGACGCCCCAGGCACAGGGAAGGGTTCGCGGTTTAGAGTCTTTTTTGTGTTTAGGGTTTAGGGTTTAGGGTTTAGCGTTTAGGGTTTAGGGTTTAGGGTTTAGGGCTTAGGGTTTGAGGAGCCCTTTACAGGAGCGCTTTGAGGAGAGTAATGCAAGGGTCTACGAGGGGTTTCGGGTTTAGGGAGTTCTGTAACAGTTTTGTGCGGGGTTTGGGGTTTTTTTTTTTAAAGTGCAATGGGTTTGGGGTTTAGGGTTTAGGGTTTGTTGGATTTAGGGTTTTGCGCGTTTGAAGGGCTGGGGCTCGCTCTATGGTCCAAGGGCCTCCGTGAGGGTGGGGTTATAGAGGGATCACAGGGGGGTTTGGGGGCTGTGGGTTCTACACTTCAACTTCATGCTTCGGCGAGTTTTGAAGTTTTAAGGTTTAGGGTTTAGGGTTTAGGGTTTAGGGTCTTGGAGTCTTAGGCTTGGGAGCTTGGGTTGTAGGGATCAAGGCACTGAAAATAGGGTTGAGGGCCCAAGATTTTGTTGTTGGATGATGTGTCATTTCTGAAGGCATCTTGGCTTGTCCTTCGAAACTTCAACCCAGGAATCCCAACTCCATCACGAACCTCGCTCTTGGCCGGTTTAGGGTTTAGGGTTTAGGTTTTAGGGTTTAGGGTTGAGGTTTTAGGGTTTAGGGTGTAGGGTTTCGTCTTAACACAGAACCCGAAGCACTGCTCGGCCAGCCTTGCAACATCGCAGGTTGTCAGTGAAACCTACTGCAAGTTGTCCACGACCCCTACCAAAACCCCACGGATCCCAAGTCAATCCGACAGACGCAATGCAACAGAACGTTGAACCCCTGAACCCAGAAAGTCCGAAGCCCGAAACCCCCTAAACCGAAAACCCGTAAGCCCCAAACCCAAAAGCTCAGCCAAACCTAAACGCTAAACGCCCAAAAATCTTAAAGCACCTAAATTCCCAAACCTTCGAGCCTAAACCACAAAACCGCAACGACCGATTCTTAAACCTTTTAGGTTTAGGTTTAGGGTTTTCTGGTTTAGGGTTTAGGGTTTAGGGAACCTAAATCCCCAAATTCCCCAAAAACCCTTCCCAAACGCCAGCTCCAAGGCCCTCTCTAAGGCCCCCGGCTGCGCCGCTTGTCCCTCGCGTACCTTGGCAAAGAAGCACACCTCGGAGCTGGAGAAAGGGATTCCTTCTGTCTTAAAAACCAAGCTTTAGGGTTTAGGGTTTAGGGTTGAGGGTTTAGGGTTTAGGGTTTAGGGCCCCCAAACGGTTCTATGTAGGTACGGCGTGTGTGAGTGGGGGGGGGGGGGCGGGGGGCGGGGGGCGTTTTGGAGGTGGAAGGATGCTACCGGATTTGAATCGGATTGTATAGAGCCTTTCACGCCTCGGCTTGAGGGCCCAGAAGTCTGGACTTCTTGGGAAAAGATCTACTAGAGGGGCCTTAACCATCAGAATAGGGTTTTTGGGGCGCATTCTACTATAATTATCATCAGGAGCCACCCCAAATAGTAGAGGTAATTATGCAGGCCCCTATATTAAACCCTAAACCCTAAACCCTAAATCCTAGACCCTAAACCCTAAACCCCTAAACCCTAAACCCCTAAACCCTAAATCCTAGACCCTAATCCCTAAACCCTAAACCCTAAACCCAAAGTCC